AGTTCTTGTGCATACTCTTTTGTGATGGTTCCATTCTTATTTATATCACCACTAAGTAGGACTTAATTAAAAATTATTTTATAATTTAGTATAACCTATTAAATTTTCATTGGCATAAATGTTTTAAAAAAAAGTTATAGCAGCTTTAAAATGTCAGAAATTTTTTTTGAAAATTTATTACGGTAGCTTAATTTTGAGATATTTATCTAAGATGAAAGTTTTTATTTTTATTTTTACCTACTATAGGTTCAACTAGATTAAAATCAGGTTCTTTTAATGTATGAATCATTAAAATCGATCAAGTGTAGCTGAGAATTTTTATAGATAAAAAAAGCAAAAAATCATTTTTATCCCTTATATGATATAAGGGATGAATTAATAAAGGCATTAATAAATTTCAAAAATAGCAAAAATCAATTTTCATAATATAATTATTATTTTAAGAGAAATTGAGTAGCTAACGTTGAAAAATCACTCTATAAATTCGACATAAAAACCGGTGCCAGATGGCTTTACTATTAGATAATCTATACATGATAATTTGTTATGTATTTTTGTAAGTTTAGCCTATAACGTCTTATAATATATTAATAATCGCATTTGATGATTAATGCCATACTATTTTCGATTGTATTCTTAGGCTGTTTCCTAGACGGTTTTTAAAAAAAGCTTGCCGATGAATAGTATTTACCGATGTTACCACGACTATTTTTAAAAATGTTATCACAAATTGTATTTTATTCATGAAATATAATAAATTATGATTCTTAGTAATGAATAGCAAAGTTTTTTCGTTACTAATAAACTAAAAATATTTTATTAGCGCTATTTCAAATTAAAGTATTTCGCTGACAATTAATTGAATATTCAAAAAAAAAATTCTGCTATCTATTTATAGACTTATTTTTTTATACATATTTATTGAATAATTTATATTTGAGAAAAAATATCAATAATAAATATTTTACGTTTCTTTGTAAAATGATACTTCTTTATATTTCTATACTTATAACTTCCTTTTATATTTTAATGTAATTATAATATTATATTACTTTAAATTACTTGGATCATTCTAATTTATATAAAATGTAACAATCACATTTTCAATTTTAATTTTTATCAAAATAAAAATTAACAAGCTTACTTAAAAGTACTGGATTTTATGTAGTGAACATTTTTTTTTTTAATGTGTACTATTTGTTAAAATATTTTTTTACAAATTAAATATATATTTTAATTATGTTATATTATTTTTATAATATATATATATAATCGTTATCTATGTCATGATTACCGTGTAATAAATTATAAAATGATAGTAATAAAAAAGTCTAAAAAGTTAATACGGCATTCGAGATTACCAAAAAAATAAGATTTTGGGGACTTATCGACTATATAAAGTAAAAAGTTCAAAGTGGCACACTCTCACTCTCTCTCTCTCCTTCTATTTTCACATTTTTAATACATCAGCACAGTAGTGCAATTGTTACTGAGTAAAGCAGAATATTGTAGCACAGTATAGAACACAGTAGTGTAGTTTGATAATCACTTGGCTATTCAGCTCAACAAAACATATCATTTAACATAAAAACGGTAGCACAGTGTGAACGCGGCATAGTTGGGGGGACAAGTATAGATGATATCTGACAGTGATTAAAATCACTATCATAAGAAACGCTTCGATGCAAATAAGTAGATAGTGTTTAATTTTAAGAAATTTATGTGATATACCAAAAGCAAAATTAATTCCTATTTCCTTCATTATTCCTGATTAGTAGTTCTTTGATTTAGAAGTGTAATATATGAATTAATATTTATTATTGCACTTAAATATTGTATGAAATTGATATTTAATAATTTAGTATTGTAATTTTCTCAAAGAATTCATAAAAAATTTTTAAGTAGTTATTACTTTTATGGTAAACGTGTATAAAAATTGAAGGTCTTGTTTCAAAACTTTTCAAAAGATAATCTGATATTTATTATAATAAGAAATTTTCATAAGATTCAAAAATAAACTTTTATTATTTAAATTATTTAAATTCTGCTAGTTCATTATTAATATCCTAATTAAGATAAAGTATGTCAAATGAAAAAAGGATTATAAAAAAAATTTTTTCTCATAAAAAAATAATGTTAATCCATACACTTTTCCATATGTCATAGCATTATAAAGTTAAAAATGTAAAAAATAAAATCGAGAATTTTCACATAATAATAGCATTCGGTAGCCATTTTCGCCGTGAAGACAAGTCCAGAGGTCAAATTTTTATTTTGCATAATAAAATAAATTACATTAGCTTTAATTTAAGATATATATAAAAGTGTCAGACTTTCCGGAACACTTTCAAAAATTAAGTTGGAAAAGTAAATTTTTTGTGAAAAAGTTTTCATTTTAAATCCCCATTTGTGGGCAGGTTAAGGGTTAATTTATGAAAAAAATATACCAAATGAAAGGTAATGATATTATGCATCTATATAAAGAAGAATTATATTGATATGTTCATTTTTGAAAAAGTTATGGCACTTTTAAGTAAAAAAAATTGAAAAAATTTCGAAAATTAGCGATTTTTAAATTTGTAATTTTTTTGGAGGTTTCCCCCATTTACGGGGAACGAGGGAATTTTTTTCAATTTTTGAGGGTAATGTCTTCGACTAGATACAATTTGTGATCTTTTGACGTATCATTGAAAGAAATCGGTTCGGTGAGAGCTGAGAAAAAGTGGTAACAGACACAAAAAAAAAAAAAAACACATCTTAGTAAAACCAATACCTTCTCAGCTTCGCATCGAAGCTAAAATTAAGAGTTTAACATTTTTAAATTTTAATTAAACTTTTATAAAAATTAACTTTAAAAGACCAAAAAATAGATCAAACATTTTAAATCGAAATTTGGCACGAGTTATTTTAAATATATTAAAAATAAAATTCAACTTTTTAATGTAAATACTCGTTTTTATGAATTAGTAATAATGTCAAAATAAGAGGCGATGAAAAAAATCTAATTTCAGTTATTAAATCTAAATGAGATAAAAATCAAACAAATTTAAACTTTTTTTCTACCTCAAAAAGAATTAAGAAAAAAATGCATAAACTCAATGCATCGGACGGACTAATGTATGTTTTCCAAAAGAAGTGCATTAATAAAAATTATTCACAAATTATTGCAGATTAATTTTACTGACTCATTATTAAATATAATAAAGTTTAATACAAAACAAACAATAATTTAACAAAACGTATAATATCATCAAAATGTTTTTCAATTTTTATTTATAATTCTATTTTTGTCCATTACAATATCTTTTGATATTATATTTTATGACTAGTTGGAATTTTCATTTTATCATAATAGTATGACTAAAAATTATTGCTATTATTAAGTCAAAATTCATTTTTTCAAGCTATTCATAGTTAGTTATACACTTATTCATTAGATAGCTGAAAAATAAATATATCAATAAGAAACCATCTTCTATTTTAACGCAATATTGTTCAAAACTTTCAGTAATAATTCAATTTAATCACTAACACAATAACATAAATTAAATTCCTTTAAATATAAAATACATATTTTATAGTTTTTTTACAATAGATTTCAATTATTTAAATTTTTTTAAGTTATGGTAAAAATAGAAAAAAAACTAAAATAAATACATGGGATATTGAAAAATTAAATTACTTTTTTTTCATGTCGAAAATACTTATTTTTAAACAACTCAAATTGTGCCTATTAAATTATACAAAGAGAAAAACCAATAATATATTTGGAATCAACAATAGGTTATTTCTAAATAACAAAAAAAAAAATAAACAAATTACTTTTTTTAATTAACAAAATTGAATTTAAATGCTACTGTGTTTATTTGAATGTATTAAAATGTTACAAAAAATTTAGAAAAGTTGCTTCTTTTGAAAAAATAAATCTTGGTATTTATAGAAGTTTATAATTTGAATTAAGCTATAGATAAGTATTATTTTTGTTATTTTAATACAACAAGTAATATTTATTTATGTATTAAATAGATGTTTTTGTATTTTTATTTAAAATATTGTATACACGTCGAACAATTAAACAGCCTATCATTAAAAACATTTAATATGCGTTTCACTGGAACATTATATGATTAGTGAGGCCACTAAATGCAATAATCAAATACGATTTGAACTCCATAACGGAAAACAAGACTTAATTGATGGCGAAGATTTTCGCGCTATCTATTGCGAATCTTCCAGAAGAAGTGAAGTTACGAGTATTTAGTCAACTACAAGAGCCCAATAAATGGTTCTTAAAAACACGTCCTTAATTAATATTGGGTAATTTCATTCTTATAAAAGACATTAATTTACCACCACAGATACAAAGTGATTAAAATGCATGAAGGCAAGGATTAATGCGGTTGAAAATTTTGTGGACAAGTGATGGGGAAATTCAAAGAGCTGTGCGTTTATCATACTCTTTAACCTTTGACAACGACCAATATTTATTTATTCATTTACGTATGTGTTATTTGATTTCTTTATATTTTTATACATAAGAATGATATCTAATAATTGTTTTCGAAAAATATTAAATTAAAATTTTTATTTCCTAAGCTTTCATTGAGGTTTTCATGTTAGTTGTTATCGTAAGTGTGTGTTAAACACAACGACCGCACTTGAATCAATAAAAAAAAACGTTCAAAACGTAATTAATTAAACATTGATTATCTACCATGGACCCTTATTGTTAAGTTTGATGATATTCAAACCATGTTTAAATATAAAAATTAGCGTGATTATCATACCTATACTGTCTAGTCTTTTCCATCTTCTCTTTCGATTGATGGACGGTGGTAGCCGCATCATCAAAAAGTCATGGGGTGACTTTTTATCAAAAATAATAGTATAGAAACAATTTTCAATGGAAATAGTATGTAACACATTTTTTTTTTTTGTATAAGGGATATTATATTTTTGTGCAAATTTTTATAACAAAAAAAAAAAAACAAATTTTTCTCAAAAAAATATATTAAAGTCATTATATTTGAATAAATGTGATACATATCGCCAAACATCAGAATAAAACAGATATGTTACTATTACAAATGAAACATAATTTGATGTAAATAAATTTAAACACTTAATAATAAATTTAATAGTTTCCATAATTTATATTATGGAACAATTTTTAATGAGTTTAACTACATTATTATTAACTTTGTGTAGGTGTTGTTAATGTATTATCTGTTGATTCTTTTAACCAAATTGAATATAATTCTTCATATACAAAGCCGTCGGTAATGGTTTTTATCATGTCTGAAAATAATTAAAATTGTAAAATTTAAGCTGATATTTCCAAAGATACATTAGTATAATATTTATATATTTATATTAATAATTAAATTAATGAATAGTTAGTCGGGTAAGTCGGCGAACATATGGTTTATAACATTATTCAAACAATATAAACTTGTTTATATGAGATCATTAAAAAAAAATGATAACTTAATGTTAAACAACAAATTATCTATAGAAAATTAGTAAAAAATTATTAAATTTTATAATGCAATTACAAAAAAAGGTTCATCGAATACAAAAAGAAATCGTAGAAATAATAATTGCTTAATTTTTTTTTCAATCACATCATTAAACTAAACAAACGGCTTTCGATTAAAGAAATTTAACTTTTAGATTTTTTAACTATGAATAGATGAAAAAAAATATTTTACGACATATTACTTTCAAATTTTTTTAATTAAACAACTTTTTCCCTTACAAAAATTTATAATTATCAATAGTTTTCATGGAAATGAGTGTCTTCTCCCAAAGTGTCTCACCCTATATAATGATAATGATTCATATTTGTTATAATCCTTAAACAAATTAATGATATTTCTAATGTGGACAGTAAAAATTACCGTATGAAATTCTAATATGATTATCAAAAAAATAAAATAGTTTATTTGAGAATTTCAATCGTATTTTATCAAACAGTGTCTAAAATTAAATAAATATATTGTATAGAGTAACATCACCAATTAATGAACATTACAAGTGAACAAATACCTCCAATATTTTACCTAAACTTTTTCTAAAGTGGTTGGAACAAGTTTCAGGTAGTAATTTTTATAGCAAAAAATATCTAAATTAAGTTCTGACAAGTTGTCATAATGAAAAACTCTTAATTGATCATTCACTGATGAAGTCACTCTACTTATTGTACTTATTTCTAACACAAACGTTGAATAAATGTCTATTTAAATAACTAATAACCTTCAATTAATATTATCTAATTAATTTTAATTATAAATTATAAATGTTCAGAACGGAGTTTAAAAAAAAATAATCTAACGGTATAGAAAAAAGACGAATTTTGACCCTTGTAATTGTTGCATAATGTAGAAATAATTTTATACTTTTAAAGAAGTTATGATGAATACCTTTGTAATTGATGTTATCATTCTCAACTTTACATTCATTGATTATTTTATTTAGGGCCTCCTCAGTTAATTTACCGCGAAACAATTTGCTCCTTAAAAACGCTTCTTTTGCATGTTGTAATTTGACGATGCCATCATCATTATTGTTATCATTATTATCTTTACTTTTTTCTGATAACTTTGCTTTAAGAATATTTTCATCATTTTTCATTAATTTATACTGATTATTAAAAAGTCCTCTTATTAATAATTCGTCTTCATCTAAAGAAATACCAAAAAATAATAATAGAGCATAAAAACACTTTCTTTTATGTAATTTCGCATCTTAGCAAATCTAAAAATAAATATACTAAAAAATCAAAACTTGATTTTTTTATCATCCTGTTGAGAGCGAACTAATTTCCGAATTATTTTTCTAATTTTAATGTAATTCACGGAGTAACACAAATTTTTTTAAAAATAACATAGTCATTAATAAAATATACAATATTATAACTAGACGACTTAGTCAGAAATTGATACAGTTAAAAATTTTTCTGCTTAATATTCATCGAATATCTGGAAATAATTCTAAGATTTTTCTTAATCTACAAATGACTTCCTAAAAACTATCCTATAAAAAAATGTTCACACATTATTTGATATTATCATGTTGCATAAAAATAAAGACAACTCTTTTTTGTATATTTAATAATATACGTGTAATAATTATACAAGAACGTTATAATTATAATCATTTATAATGATTATAACATTCCAGTATTATTAGCATGAATTGATACTATTTATTACTTGTTATTTATAATTTGAAACGTTTTCAAAAATTACTATTTTAATCCCCCTTGTAAACAGGTAAAGGGTTGGATAATCAAAAATATTTACCAAAAAAAAAGGAAACATCTATTTATAAAAAAAAAATGTTTTGATTGAATTTTGGAAATTTATTATATTTTATTATTTTGCTCAAAGTATAATTGATATATGAAAATTTTTGTTAATACCTCTTTTATAATAATAATTTCTATATATTTTAATGTTAAGTTTAATACTTATCTAGTTAAACTCAAATAAGAAAAAACTAAACTCAATTGTCATATTTCAACCCCAATACGGCACCAGAAGGGGTTGAGTAAACCACATTTATTATACAAAAAAAAACAAAAATTACAGCGAGATATTAACTGTATCATATTTTATAATAATAATTGTCAATTAAATCTGTTGTACCTTGTACAGATGCTAAATGAAAATAATTAAATCTTAATTACCATCAAAGTTATCGAAGACGATATCAAAAAGACTAGAATCCATATGCTTCCTATCTATAACTTCTTTTATTACGTCAAATCTCAATGCTTCATCATCAGTTCTAAATTCATTTTCTGCTAAACCCACAATATAATTTGATATGGGATAATCTTCCTAAAAAAATCAATGGTATGTAAGTTATTGGTTTATGAGAATTATTAAAATAAATAATAAATACAAAAAGTTATAAAATTAAAAATAAATATAAAACATTTATGTACCTATACAGGTTGGCCCACCACTCACTGACAACTTAAATAACTTTTGATCTAGTTAATATTTTTAGCTGATTTTTTTTTAAATAATAGTTATACGTTAGGTCCACAGCTATATCTCAATAATTAATTTTTTTACATTTTATTAAAAATATTAATTATTTTTAAATTTTAAATAAAAAGTAAAAAAAAAATCTAAGATTTAAATATTCTGTAGCGTTTTGAAGTTTGTGAAATTTTGAATTTTCATGTACTATTTTACGGTATTAAACATTGAAATACGTATTGAGAAAAGGACAGAAGAAAACGCTATCTTTTCATGATACTTTTGAATGACAGTGATAAGTAATAATTGCCTTATCTAATTTCTTCAATGAGAAGCTGAGAAAGGTTTGTAATGTATACACACTATCATCATATGTATACACAGNTATCTTTTCAATATACTTTTGAATGAGAGTGATAAGTAATAATTGCCTTATCTAATTTCTTATCATAGTATTAATGTCAAGTTCGTAATGTATACACATTATCATCATATGTAATCATGTAAGATGAAAAGATAGCGTTTTCTTCTATCCTTAATATTATAATATTAATATATACTCAATATTAATAAGATATTTTTTTACTAAAATTTTTCTTAAATTCTACTCTACGAAATAGCTATCTTAGATTTTTTTTTTACATTTTATTTAAAATTTAAAAATAATTAATATTTTTAATAAAATGTAAAAAAATTAATTATTGAGATATAGCTGTGGACCTAACGTATAACTATTATTTAAAAAAAAAATCAGCTAAAAATATTAACTAGATCAAAAGTTATTTAAGTTGTCAGTGAGTGGTGGGCCACCTGTATAGTTCAATGACCTACTTTTAAATATAATGATATAGGGGTGTCAACATTAATTTTTTAAATGGTAATGTACATAACTAATTAGCTTTAAAAAAAACGGTAGCATAGTGATGTCGCAGCACATTATGATGTGGCATAGTTAGAACATGTATAAATGATAATTGACAGTGATAAATCACTATCATAAGAACTAGTTTAATGCAAATCTGTATAAGTATAATATATGTGTATATAATTATTATAAAAATGAAATTTAGTATAAATGTATAAATACATCGGACTACGAGGATTTGTCATCAAACAGAAAAATATTTTTTCACGCTTATTTCAAATTTGCAATTTGATTTTATCAATCACCTCTAATTTTTGATATTATTTCCAATTAATTAAATAGAGTATTAACATACAAGAAAATAATTTAGGTTAAAATAAAATTCGACAATATGTCAACTGACGAAATCATAAATGAAACTAGTATATTAGTACTAGTCTAGAGGTCAAAATTTTTTTTTTTCAAATTAAAGTATATTACATTAGCTTTAATTTAAGATATATATAAATGTGTCAGACCTTCCGGAACATTTTCAAAAGTTATGTTGAAAAAGTAAATTTTTTGTGAAAAAGTTGTCATTTTAAATCCCCCCCTGTGGGCAGGTTAAGTGTCAGATTTACAAAAAAATATACCAAATGATAAGTAAAGACATCAACCATCTATATAAAAAAAAATTATATTGATATGTTTATTTTTGAAAAAGTTACGGCAGTTTTTAGTAAAAAAAATTGAAAAAATTTCGAAAATTAGCGATTTTTAAATTTGTAATTTTTTTGGAGGTTTCCCCCATTTACGGGGAACGAGGGAAATTTTTTCAATTTTGAAGGGTAATGTCTTCGACTAGATACGATTTGTGATCTTTTGACGTATCGTTGAAAGAAATCCGTTCGGTTAGAGCTGAGAAAAAATGGTAACAGTGACACACAAAAAAAAAACACATCATAGTAAAACCAATACCTTCTCAGCTCCGCATCGAAGCTAAAAATATAGATTTGAATATTTCAATTGTAGAATCTAATTAAACACCAAGAGTTGCATTGAAATGATTATAATGATTTTTATTGAAATGATTTATTTTGATGTACAAAAAGAAATAGTTAAAAATTATTTTAACGAAATTTTGAGCTTTTCTAATAAATTTACTGTTAATAGTAATTATATAAGTTCCTGAAAACATATCAATCTAAACAATACTATTTTTTAAATTCTCATAAATAATTCTTTTTAATGATATCAATTTCATACTTGTAAGTTGAACTAAAAAAAAGTTATGAACTTTTATGAAAGTCAACTTTAAAGAACCACAAAAATAGCTTTAGTTTTGAAAAATATATTATATGGTCTATGATTAGTAAAAAATGTTTCATTTTAGTGATATGATTTTTCTGAGTAATTTAGTAATTGAATTCTGTACCACCATTATTTGAGAAGTTATTTAATTTAAAAAATACTTATTTCAAATCGTTTAATTTTATTAAAAACAATTGTGAATTTGTTTGCTTAGACTAATTTTTCATCGCCAAAAATTTTTTTTGTCTTTTGGATAAATATCAAAAGCTTATATTTAAAAAAAATAACATCAACATGCATAGGAGGTCTTTTTCAAAACCTTCTTGTACTTTGGTTTTTAAAATAATTTTTTCAGAAATGATTTATACAATATCATGTTATTAAAAAATTTGTAATACTACAGACTGGTAGATGAACAGACTAAAAGAGTCAAGAAATGTTATGATACATTGACCTCTCTTTACAATTCTTATCTAAGCAATAAACTATGATAACTATTGTCAAGTAAAAATTGCCATACTGTCATATAATCAATATTATCTGTTAAGCAATAAACTAAATTAATTTAAAGCTTTCATGTAAATAATAAAATGCACATAGATATTAATATAAATTGTCACTGATATGTCAATATTATAATGAAATAATTAATCAATGTCCAGAATAGTATATTAGTTTTAAGATATCATATAATAAATAATTTATTAAAGAGATAACAATAGCATATCTGACACTTCTTGCACATGAATACAGCTATTTTAATTAACAAAACAGTTATATAAAAGGGACCAAAACAGGTTAAAATAGGGCTCATTCTTCGTTGATCCAAGCATGCTCTTAGTTCTATCAATATTGACCAAATTCATTAATCTCAATTGTTTAATTCATGTGTAAGAAGTGAACAGACACGTTTAGATTTATTTAAAGTAAACGAGACGACTTAATTCATTCTCTAGACATCCTCCGGAAACATCAAGGTAGATACTAGTTAATTAAATTAATAAGGTTTAAAAATTTACTTCTTTAAAGTGCATAGTTAACGTAAGAATAAAGAAAGAATGAGTGATCACTGAAAAAATCACTGTGTCTTTCTATTACCTATTCGTTATTTTTATAAGCCCTCGAACTCATTCCAGAAAACTTTTATTATTAAAAACAAATAGTAACTCCTCTTCTACTATTATAATCTTACTTATTTCTTTTATTTTTGAGTTACTATAGAAATTTATAAATAATAAAGTAAAACTATTTAACTTTATAGTTGAAATATCATATCAAGCCTATTTCGAAGTTTTAAATATATATTTAAAACTTTATTTTATACTCAAAAAAAATTAAGATTAAGTGAGAAAAGAGTCATTGTGACGGACTGGTTCGAACCTCCTACCACAAACGTGTTAAACTGACGCGGTTATTATACATCGCAATTGTAGGCAGATAAAAAGGACAATATAACCCTTTAGCAGGCGCGTGTCTATTTTTAACGTTCATAATCGCGTGGAGGTCTATCGGACCCATTTCTAAAAAAGTACAAAATATGTATAAAAAAGTTCATTTTTTTTAATTCAAAGACATGATTTGTTACCATATGATATATAAATATGCAGGAAAATTAAAAAATTAAAATAAAAAAATTAATAAATTACAGAATTATGTGCATTACAAAAAATGATATTACGAAAAAAAAAAACTTCAAAATTTTCGTTTGTAAAAAAATTATTTTAACTACAAAATCTTATTTTTAAGACGGTAAACAAAAGCTTTTACTATTACAAAATGTATTTTAATTAATTTTTCTTGTATTTCTTTGAGCTCCAACGCGGCTTATATTTATTATTTTTATGTGTATTTACATTTATATAATCATATTTCTGAATTGAATTTTTTTATTATTAATATTACAATATATTTAATTATTATGATACGAGTATATACAATTATTCGTTTGTAGTAGCACATCGATTACCGATTATCAATGTGTCCACATTGCAACGCGATGTATTTATTACATGTTTTGTTCTTATTTGTTCTGTATCATCGAGTAGTGAGGATTCTAAATAGATTATTTATTTTTAAAACTTAATTGCACAGTCGGTGGTAGATTCACATAATTCCAATTCCATAATATTATATCGATTATAACATTGCATTTACGATATTTTGAAAAAAATACAAGTCCAAAAAAAAATTATAACTTTGATGGATATATTTTTTAAGTCGTACATTTTTTTTTCAAAGGTATTTATTTATGAAAATCCAATAATACTATCAAAACCATCTTCTAAATTTATATCTATGTACACCTTTTATGCATTATAATACATACGTTTTTATTTATGTGGGGGTATGCTAGACCCCCACGCGACTATTTAAGGGTTAAGCTAGTTCAACATTTCTAAGTCATTTTTCTTAACTTAAAAAAAGCAAACAAATTAAAATAAGTATAACGTTATTTAAAAATAATAATGCTGACCACTGTCAAATATCATTTTATATTTGTTATTCCAACTGTGTTTCATTCCCACTATGCTGGTTATTTTAGCTTCGATGCGAAGCTGAGAAGGTATTGTTTTACTATGAAGTGTTTTTTTTTTTTTGTGTGTGTCTGTTACCACTTTTCCTCAGCTCTCACCGAACGGATTTCTTTCAACGATACGAAGACATTATCCTTAAAAATTGAATAAATTTCCCTCGTTTCCCATTATGGGAAACCTCCAAACAAATTACAAAATTAAAAATCGCTAATTTTCGAAATTTTTTCAATTTTTTTTTACTTAAAACTGCCATAACTTTTTCAAAAATGAACAAAACAATATAATTTTTTTTATATAGATGCTCGATGTCTTTTTCATTTGGTATATTTTTTTTGTAAATCTGACCCTTTATCTGCCCACAGGAGGGGATTTAAAATGACAACTTTTTCACAAAAAATTTACTTTTTCAACTTAATTTTTGAAAATGTTCCGGAAAGTCTGACACTTTTATATACATCTTAAATTAAAGTTAATGTTATATACTTTATTATGAAAAAAAAAAAATGTTGACCTCTGGACTTGTCTTCGTGGTGATAATTGCTACCAAATGCTATTTTTGTGTGAAAATTCTCGATTTTATTTTTTATTACATTATTAACTTTATAATGCTATAACTTATTGAAAAGTGTATGGATCAACACAATTTTTTTATGAGAAATAATATTTTTTAATAATCCTATTTTCATTCGACATATTTTATCTTAATCAGGATAAATAAGGAACTAGCAGATCACGTAGCTTTTGGAATAATACACCAATTTTTTAAAGTTAAACTCTATCTAAAGATTTACATAAAAGCGTTTTTTTTTTATAGTGATTTTAATCACTGTCAGATATCATTATACTTGATCCAACTATGCCACGTCACAACTGTGCCGCGACCCCCCTGTGCTGGATTTATTTTTTTATTGTTTTCCCGTGACTTAAAATTACTGCAACTTTTTCAAAGACACTGTATCAATTTGATATAGTGATACGTAATACTATGAACAATCAATGTTTTATAGATACACTTTTTTTAAAATCTAACAAAAAACTGATCTATAAATGGGTTATGAATACAACTAAATTTTTTTTTTCCTTTTCAATTAAAAAAAAAATGTAATCAAACATATGTCCTTATAATTTAAATTTTGAAAAAGTGAAATTTCAATATTATTAAAGATATTTGCCATTTTTAGTGGTACAAAATATACAAGTAATTTCCATAGCACAGATCTGTTTAAAACATGTTTTATAAATAAATTATCAATAATTATTATGGTATAAAAAAAGGCACCCAAGCCAATAAATAACAATAAATACGTATATATTATACGTATTTATTGTTATTTATTATTTATTATTATATTAATAATAGTAATTATAATTACTCTTTCTTTGGCTTCTTTTGAGTAACAATTACAGTAGCGGCTGGACGCAATTTGTACACACATCAAACATAATGTTACACAACAACAAACATAGAAACTCATTATAATGTTGATTATAATTGCAACAGCAATAGAAGTTCTGTACTGACAATACAATTTCAATAGTAACAACTATAGGTGTATTATAATTTTTATTATAAAATTAATTTCATTTATATAGTCAATTCAGTCTATTTTGAATAATCTAAAATATGGTAATACAAAAAATATATTTAGTATATAAACATTTCAAATAACATTTGTATTAATCAAATTTATTTCACATGTTTTCCAAAAAAAGTGCGTCAATAAAATGTATTCACATAATGTGGCAGGTTAATTTTATTTATTCATTATTAAATAAAATAAAGTATGATATAAAAATATCGATTGTTATTAATAGAAAACAGAAAATAATTTAAAAAAACGTACAATTTATCATTAAAATGTTTTTCAATTTTTATTAGCTTCGATGCGAAGCTGAGAAGGTATTGGTTTTATCATGATGTGTTTTTTTTTTGTGTGTCACTGTTACCATTTTTTTTCAGCTCTCACCGAACGGATTTCTTTCAACGATACGTCAAAAGATCACATATCGTATTTAAACGAAGACATTACCCTTAAAAATTGAATAAATTTCCCTCGTTCCCCGTAAATGGGGGAAACCTCCAAAAAAATTACAAATTTAAAAATCGCTAATTTTCGAAATATTTTCAATTTTTTTTACTTAAAACTACTATAACTTTTTTAAAAATGACCAAATCAATATAAATTTTTTTTAAAGATGCTTGATGTCTTTACCTATTATTCGGTATATTTTTTTTATAAATCTGACCCTTTACCTGCTAACAGGGGGGGATTTAAAATGACAAATTTTTCACAAAAAATTAACTTTTTCAACTTAACTTTTGAAAGTTTTCCGGAATGTCTGACACTTATATATATCTTAAATTAAATTTCTTAAAAAAATCTTAAAAAAAAAATTTCGGACTTTATTTTGTCTTCACGGTGAAATTGGCTACCGAATGCTATTTTTGTGTGAAAATTCTCGATTTTTACTTCATAATGCCATAACTTATTGAAAAGTGCATGGATCAACACAATTTTTTTATGAGAAATAATATATATATCCCTTTTTCATTCGACGACATACTTTATCTTAATCATAATATTAATAAGGATATAGCAAATCATGTAGCTTTTGGAATAAAGCACCAGTTGTATATTTTAATTGTAAATTAAATCATAATTTATTTCAATTATTTTAATCATTTTTTTTTAACAATAATAGTTTTTTGTTGAGCAATTTTACATGAAAATTTAATTTTCTTCTCTTATCCCTTATATCAAAACTTTTATCAACTCTTAATTTTCAAACGGGAACTCCAATTTTTTATTTTATCAACAGATTTATTTAATTGGAAAATTTTTTATATATTATTTGATTTTCAATGAGTTGCGTTTGTTTAAACTTTAAGGTGCGATCAGAAAAAAATGTACTTATTTTTAAATATCGTATTTTATTGTTTCTTATATAGATAAGCGCTACTGGTTTATAAAAATACAATAAAATATAAATGTTTGCTCATGTCAATTGCATTACTAAGAACCGGTAGTGTTTATCGATTTCTGGCGATAAAACCTTGCGTGATAATTGTTTATTTTTCATCACTCATCAATTTAAAAGACAATTCACTGGAAACGAAATAAAATAATAAAATTGTTTATTTTAACCTAATGGTAAAAAAATTAAAATAGGACAACATTTGAAATCAAAAGTTAATGTCTGTTTAAAGCATAAACTATGATAGAAAATTAACTTTTTTTACTAAGTAGCTCAACAAAGAATCATTATTGCTGCAAAAAAAACGATTACCTGTTATTTTAAGACATATTTCGTGAGGCGTAGTTAAGGAATCATAATAAAATTCATTATCTATATTTTTTTAGAATTTATGTATATGTCTGTAAAATATATGAAACTATATTGACACAATTTAATGTTATAATATTTTTTTTGGAATAAAGTATATCTCGAACTCTACATAATAAGTCAATATTACTCATCGAGTAAAAATAATAAAAAAATCATGTCACCAAAACTAAAAGGTTTTTTTTATAATAGTTTTATTGGTTATTACTAAAATCTTTATAACTGATTTTTAAGTCATCCAGTCACTTAGGTGAAAAAAATTATTAGGATTGAGCTTAGAACTAGGTATAAATTAAAGAAAAAAATGTTTTACTTTTTTTCGAATATAATAATTAAACATATATACATGTTTAATTATGATCTAACTAAGAAAATAACTGATTGATAATAACTTATTGACTAGTGCTATGGGAGTTATAAGCATTTTAAAATACTGGAGATAAAACGTAAATACTGCTATTCATATTTTTATAATGTTATATATTTCTTAATTTATGAGTTATTATTATGATTTTGATACATTCTGTATATTTTATAAGGGTAGTTATTTAAATTTCATAAATTCATATATAAAATAAAATCTAATTAAATGGCCTATTACAACTTTTAACCCATTATTTTAAAAGATATTACCATTTTAAAATATAGACTGTAGCTGAATGCAGCTACTTTAATTATTAGACATTTTTCGATTTAACTCTTCTTAGGTATAAATATGTTAATAACTTTTGAAATATTGGTCTAAAAGTTGTTATCAACCGGTTATTTTCTTAATACATAATTATGTGTGTTGTCATTTGAAAAATTAAAGTTGACACACTTATGAGGCAGAAGGGACGAACTTAAAAATATTTTATAATTGATAAATTGTAAAAAAACATGGAACTAAAAAAAGTAATAAAAAAATTATCTATATTATTTATATTTTCAATTAATTTGGTGTTTCGTGATTAAACAATCCCCCTGTATCAGTGACGCAACTACTTAGGGTGCTTTAGTGTACCTTCCCTAAATTTTAATAGTTATAGTTTCAACTAGAGGGCTAGATAATATAATTATCTATGCTCTCTAGTTTCAACGAAGTAATTTTATTTGTAAAAATTTATTGTAGTTTTTTCTTATATTGCATTATGGTTACATTGTACTATTATTGTAGCAAAAAGAATCGTTCTTTTATGTAGAGACCTAAATAATAAGATAAAGGCAATTTGATTTGATAGCAGTCAAGTTTCGTCCAAACTTTTCCCGTCTTTTATATAATTCAAATATTTTATAAAAGAGGATATTTATGAATTTATTTATGTATTATTCGATGTCGAAAACTACAAGAATCAATTTTTTCATATGAAGTTTTTAGTTTTTTGTTCTATCTATTATGTAAAATTTAATTTTGGTATGTTTGTTTGTTTGTTTCTATTAAATTCATCCGATAACGATGATACTTTAGTGACATTATGTATGCACGTTTGCTAAGGTTTCTAAATTAGTATATTAATGAATTTTACATAACATCTAGAGGAAATCTATATAAAGGTGAATGAGTGAAATATAAATATATATTTTACATTTCTATAGAAAATGTTCACTAAATTGACTACTCTCTTATTATTTAGGCTCTCTAATTTTGAGTATACTTGTCATCTAAATATTAAGCTACTGATCAAAGATAAACGTAGTTTGATTGTATAGCCATTTATAAACCGCTATCATTAGTACAGCCATTATACATTATATCATTATATAGCCATCTATACTCATGTGTTGAACTTGGCAGTGTGAGGAGTAAGCCCTCAGTGTTTTGAGAGCAGTTACACAATTTTAGCACCACTTAATTTTTTTGTTCTAGCTGCGCCATTGTTTTGAATGATTATAAAGTTTTATGTAAAGAAAGAAAATTGTTTAAAAGTAACAAAATAGAATAATAATTTATGACAAAATACATATAAAACATTATAACACATGATTCATTGTTATTTAGTCATTGAAAATAATGCGCAATAAATTAATCAGATATATTTTTCAAATTCAAATTTATTTTAAAATCAATAAAACGTAAAATATAATAAGTTTGAATCTAGTAAATTATCAAAATAAAATATTATTATCGCTAAAAATTAGAAAAAAACATTTATAACAAATAAAAATACTTACTAAATTTTAACATGAAAATACAAGTACATATTGAATAAAAATGCAAATCAAAGCAATTTAATAATTTTTGAAATCGTTAAAATTATTTTAACGTAAAAATCTTAATATCTCTGCTATATTAAAGTGTTTAACTAAACTTATTAACTCGTTTACGCCTCAGTTATATGTCTTGTACATAAAACATATATTTCCAGTTCATGTCATATCTTATAATATTACATTGGGTGTAATCAATTTTATATTTTTCAGAAGAATAAAATAAAATATTAAGAATATAATATAAGAATAAAAAATTCAGAAATAAAAAATTATTAACATTTTTAGTTATATAATAACAAATTAGTATTTCTTTAATAACAGAATTTGTCAATAAGTTATTTAAGAAAAAAAATGTAATTGAAAAAAATAGTCTGTAAATAATATTTATAGATGTCATAAACATATTACTATGTTGATCCAATCAACCGTTTGTTTCAGAATGTTAAAATTAACCGTTTTTAGATGAAATTTCTATTGATATACTACTGTCTTATCTTTAATGAATCACCTGTATACATTTTTCAATTGGTATCATTTAAATAAGTTAATTTTTACTTCATAAAGTCATTAGTGGCATCGGGTTGGTATTTTACTCAACCCAAACATCGGGTAAAATACCAATCAAACCAAACTAGTGTCCACCGATATAATTCAGAAGAGGGCACATGGTTTTTTCCTCCTGATTTATGTTAGCGGTAAAAAAATAATTTTGCTCATTTATCTTATGAATTTAATATGTAATTCACTAATTTCTAGTATAGGGATACAAATTAAAAAAAATTAACTTTTTTAGCATTAAAAATTATAAAAACTGGTACATGATATTTCTTTCACTAAACTTGAAATATTTTTTATATCAAATTATTACGTAAATAGTAGGAGAGACTGGGACACATGCAAATATGCCCCAGACTCCAACTTTGGTAAACAACGACTCGTCTTTTTGATTTGCAAGTCAATGAACTAAGAATTTGTTCTTTTAATGAAAATCATATTTTGAATATAATTAAACTTGATATATCGTGTTCTTTACA